AAGGTTTGAAGTCATTATTTTGTATTTCAGCTTTTAAATGTCTGAAGTTTGTTTCTAATCTGTTAACCACTATAAACATTGTATAAACTCAGCATTAAGACAAGAAGACATGCTATAAGACACACAAAAAAGCATATTTGGCATTTTTAATATTTTCTTTGGAATTAAAACTCATATAATATTAAAATCTGATTTATAAACTACATTGTGGTGCCAACTGTATTGACATACAATGATAATAAAGTTGTTCAACTGAATTTTGAAAATAACTAACATGTGACATGCACCTTTGACCTGTTTGTTGAGAGAGTTAAACATTATCAAACATACAAATAAACCAAATTTTTTATGCTTTAGTGACCACTAAAATTCCAAATCCAGTTAAACTTTTCAATATGGACGTTGAAAGTCAATTATTTAATAGTAATAGCAGTATAAATATAACTGTGGCACCTATAACACAAAAATATTAAATGCTTATTGATAAACTATATCTTCATGAAACTTGTGTGCTAAATTAATGTGAAGCACAACTGTGAAATGCTCTTCCAAACGTGTGTATTGTAGTCTCATATATTTCAGTACTGCATTTTTTTCATACCACTATAGTAACACTGTAATATTCAAGTACACTTTGTAACTTCTATCTGTTTTATTTAGTAAAGTAAATTCTTAAAGTCCATCTACAAGTTTTCAAAATTTTCATGCATACAAGCGTATGTAGATTTAAAGTAGAACGTTGATCAAGGAAGTTGCCAAGTTCCTTTCACTCTAGTTACCTATTATTCTATGTCATTCCCCTATGGTAACACATATGCTTTCTTGCGGAAAAGATTGCTGGAAAGTAGAATACACTATGTAAGGATGGGCAGCAATTTTTTCCATTGGGAGATCAGGTGAAACCAGAAGGATATATCCACTCTTCTTTTTCAACTGGCACTACAAATAGTAACATAAGCAGTACATGTAGCCTGACAAGATTAGTAGTGTAAAACTGTATGTGTAATGCTATATTTCCTCAGTCTGGAACAGATGTTTCACATACATCTCCACATTTTTCTGAGAGCTCTGATCATCCTGTAAAGATGCTGTAATCCATTTTACACACTTGTCATTTTGACTGTGTTTAACTCTCTCACTATAGGCTTGGTCCCAAGAACCAAAGTTGTAAATATTTTCTGCTTGTTATACTTTTCAAACTATAACTTTTAATACAGAAAATTCATGACATTTTGCAGATTATCAGTAAACATTGCAGGCCTTTAGTACACAAAATATCAGATTTTTTTTATTAAGTTTTAAGATTTTTCAAGTGATGATTTGCCCCTTGCATTTTTGCTTTTTGAATGTTGACTATCCAACATGCAAAGTAATTTTGATTTTAAGATTAAAAATACTTCTATGCATCGAAAAAATTGTATAATTTCATATGCAAAATCTTTATAACCTCTTAATAACCTCCAGTTAACTGTCAACCTTTTTTTAGAAAAAACTTTATACTTTATCTGTTATTTTCACTATTGTATCTGTGTACAGGTTTGTTAATTTGACACAACTCGTAACCAATATAAAAAATTAAGAAATAGATATAAGTTATGCTTTTTCATTCTAGAAATACTACAAATTATAACAAACATTTAGTCTAAATAGTTTAAATCTCATAACATTATGCATCTATTCATTTATTTATTTTTTAATTTCACTGATCTTTCAGCTGTGCCTGACTAACATTACACAAGTTGCAATAATGCAGCACACGTGCAGTCATGTTATTGTTTGTTTTGAATTTCACGCAAAGCTACATGAGGGCTATCTGCACTAGCCATCCCTAATTTAGTAGTATAAGACTAGAGGGAAGGCAGCTAGTCATCACCACCCACTGTCAACTCTTGGGGCTACTCTTTTACCAACGAATAGTGGGATTGACCATCACATTGTAATGCCTCCACGGCTGAAAGGGAGAGCATGTTTGATGTGACGGGAAATCGAACCCACGACCCGCAAATTGCGAGTCGAGCGCCCTAATCACCTAGCCATGCCGGGCCTCATATTATTGTATCCAACAGTATAAAAGTGGCCTTGACAAAGTGATCTGTCTTTGGTTTATCCTAATGAATCAGTATTTTGTAAAATACAGTCACATTTGGGTTATAATATACTACATATCCATATATATTATTACTATTTACAACTAAGTTCTTAAATTTCAGTTATTTTTCTTAGAACGTAGAACAGTAAATAAAGAAATATAGAAAGATTTTTTCTACTTATAAACTTTGTACCCGTTTATCCGCTTGCCATAATTTGCTAAGCACTGTCCAATATTGCATGCAGAGAATGCAAAACAATTTTTTCTAGGTTTTATATATTCATTTTGAAATAACCAAATATTATAAATTACTCTATCAATATTGAAGAATTCCACTGTAATGTATTAGGCGTACTAACTAAATTGTATTTGAGTAAAAATAAAATTTTTGGACAATATTTTCACTTGCCACATCCTTCAGCAATTCAAGACAAAGAAATAATCTAAGAAACTTCCCACCTTTTACACACTGAGAAAACCACCAGGGGAACATTTTGAGCTTTCAGTTGGTTATTCACAGGTCATAGACAGAAGTAAATGTACGTAAAAAGTATTTCCAAAAATGGAAAGAGGTGGGCAGGCCACTGTGTTTGATTCATTATATGTAACAATATCTCAGCAAACAGAAAAGATGAGGTTCTTATTTTATATTCCAGCTTGTCAATATCTTTAATTTGAGTTTCTAATTCGTGAGAAACTACAGACTTTGTATTTGGACATCACAAACATATAACTTGAACGAAAGCTGTATTCAACATACCACATGACACACAAAAATCAATAGTTAGGATTTTTTTAATTAACATATAATACTAAAATTTTAATGATAATCTACAATTTGACACCAAACTTATTGACATACATTCATAAAAATTAAAATTTTTAATGTAAGTCTACAAATGCAATGATCTACCCTTTGACCCCTGACCATAGGAAGACCTGTAGCATGAGAAGTTAACCCTTTCCAGCATTATGTCAACACAGGCACATTCTTTACGGTTCTGTAAAGCTCAGATATCTTCTAACTTTATTTGTTATTTGACACACAATCACTTTTGTGATAAAAAATGGTATTCAGTGAATCTTTTACAAAGTTCAGATTTCTGGAAGAAATTTACTGTTTACAAAGGAATAAAAATCATTACAAGAAGAACCAACTTCAGTGTTGTTTCTAGGATTTCCCTCAAGTGGGCCAAATCCACCACTGACTTACAGAATGTGGGCCATCAATGTAATGAAGTAGGTATTAACTTCGCAAGTTACAAATGCATACCATGATCAAGTAACTTTTATTTGAAAATACAGTAAAATGAATCATTGAAATTTGTTTCATTTGTGTATTTACTGAAAATATCTACAAATTCACTGACAAAACTTAAATTGCAGTCGTCTTCTCTGCACCTTTTTCCTTTATTTATTTCTATTCTTGCATCATTTTGATGGAAAAATGAAGTCATGCTTTTTAAACTTAACTGCATCTTGAAAGTCTTCGTACCTTTAATTTTCTCTGCCATTATCAATCATCGATATCCCATAATATCAAAGGAATCTTCCGCAAAACCAAATGATGTCATAATGCAGCCAATCACATTCCTTTGCATATCCAAATGAGCTAATTACTGTTCCAAATTTTTTGGTTATGATCGTGATCTATCATTACGAAGTCATTCACAATATCTTTTGAATGGTAGGCAAACACAACTAGTAGGCAGTTAAACAATTATTTTTTACAATGTGACGATCAAAATAACTTAAATATGCATCCTAGAAGCAACATTGAACTTTATATGTAGTTAAGGCCTGTGACAGGTACATTATTATTATTTTTTTCAATTAGTATACCTTCACACACCTACGTGTCTTTGATTTCATCTGTTTTATTATAAAAAACATGGTAATTTATAAATTAGACCAATTACGTAGAGTAAGCTTCAGACATGCGCATTACGGAACTTAATGTACAGCAAGCAGTCGAAGAAACTACTGCCCATGAAAGGCCATATTTTGCAAAAGAAATACACTCTGTTGCTCTAACTGGTTTACAGGAAGATACATAATACCCTTATATGTTTCTGAATTATCTGAGAGTACATGTAAAAAACCTAGCAAATTTGCTAAATGTATCTTATTCCATCACTTTATAGGAGGAAGAGGAAGTGGTAGAAGCCTACAAAATACAGAAAATAGATTGCTGACGAGAACATAATGTAACAAACAAAATGATATAATTTTGGTGTCTACGGTTTCAAACATAAAATGCATACTTACTTGAGAACCATTAATTTCAATATAGCTCTTCAAAATTTTTTTTTTAATATTTCAGCTAGATACAAGCAAACACTATGTAGAAATACTAAAGGAAGGATAAATATGGCAGATGTTTAGTTTTCAGAAAGCTTAGTTTCTTACAAAACAAATCTGAATTTTGAAACTTTATCCAAGTTAAAAAGAGATTGGATTTTTGGTTAGATATTTATATTTTTCTTTCAAATATTTCTTATTAAATTTTCATTATTTCTTACAACAACTAAAAACGTAAATACATTACAATATGTTTTTTTTTTCTGAAATGTGACTATCATGGCTATAAAAACAAAGTTTTCAAAATTCAATGCCAACACTGGAAAGGGTTAAGTATTGGATAAATGTTATTTTCTTTCCTCTAATTTTTACATTGTCCTCTCGTTCTTTTCTCTAAACTCAGTCAACATCAAAATAATTCAGTTCAACATCCTATAGTTTGATGTTATCTGAATACTCAAAGGGGAGATCAATGAATCTGAGAATACAAACAGTCAGTCACCAAAAGAAGCAAATGTTTACAGATTTACTCAACCTTATCATATTTTGGTAAAGCTTCTGTCCTTTTACTACATGAAAACAAAATTTATAAAATAACATCACTACATACTTTCTTCCATGATTTTGCAGTCTGAAATCTGGTCAATCTGTGGAGGTTGTTTCAAATGGATTCCAGTGTCAAACTCATAACCTACTAATTCGACCCGTCTCTGGGCATGTCGTAAAATAGCACCTCCCTGTTAATTTAGGAAAATTGACATTTTTTTTTTCATACTTTTAAAAATGTCTGGTAAAATAAATTATCAAATCCTTCCCTACTTCAGAATGAGACAAATATTAACATTATTTGATAATTGAAAAAAAATGATTAACCATCCAACAATCATAAGGAAAAGCACAAACATTTTAATTAACAAATATCAGTATGTGCATTATTGTTATTCTTCAACACATAAAAATATACATTTGATTTAATTGCTATGAATACAAAATGATATGAAGCATACATAGTTGAAATTTCAGAGAGAAAAAAAACTCACTTGTTCTCTTAATTTCTGGGCTGCTTTGTAAAAGATTGTGTCTTTAGCATTATACATTAAACAGTTGTTTATGATGAGATGAAAATCTGCTTCAAAGTCACTGAAGTTTGAATACTGATGATCATTAAGTTTTTTCTTCATAGTAGAAAAGTCCATTGGATGTTTAATGACATCTAGATAATCTGGAACCTTGGAAAGTTAAAAAATATGTCTCAATATAATCTCAAAACCACCAAATCAGAGTCAAATAAACATGCCAATAGTTGATAAGTAAATGAAATTAGCATGTCTATACACAAATACTTAGGGCTCTGTATGCACAAGTCTCTTAAGGTCCTTAATGGTTATAATATTAGATCCACATATGAACAATACTGTGTACATGATTAAAAGTATGTATTATACAAAGACATTTCTTTTAATGAAAATAAAACATGAAATAAAAATCACAATGAAGAGTGACAAAAGATCATAATAACTCTTGAATGTAAAGCCAGTATTAATAATGTAAATATGTAAAGTGGGCACCATAACTTTGTTAGTAATAGTTTAACACAGCATGGTTAAATAACAATTATATCATGAAACTCAAAAACCTGTAATGATGATATTCCATTATAGTCTAAGGCAGTGGTTCTTAACCTTTTTTGCTCCATGCCCCACCTCGACACCTCAAACAATTTTATGCCCCTTTAATATAATAACAAAGTTGGTGTTGAAAAGGTATAATAATATTATTACGTAAAATATAGAAATTTACCAAAATTTCACACCCAAATGAAAATTTTTTCTTATTGTAGCATTTTCAAATTGCCCCCCTGTGGGGTGTGTGCCCCATGTTCAGAATCACTGAACATGCCATTCACTAAAAATTAGGGTCTTTCAGACTTTAAGATAAACATTAAAACCATCTTAGTAAATTGGAAGATTTGCACAGTAAAATTCATATATATTTTACAATGTGCTAACAATACTTTAAGTAAAGAAATTGTCTACTTACTTCTTTTACATCAACTGGTTCAGCAAATATACTGGCAATATCCTTAGCTTTTAACTGATCCAAGATCTCATTCAGCATCATCCTTAGCGGATTAAGAGTCATCTCAGTGGCAAACTTGTGAACTCTGATCTGAATAGTGAATCAAAATAATAAACTTTTGCTTATAAATTATCAAGTTGTACGATATTTTAAAGAACACTACTTTGCTGAGCAAGGATGATCAAAAGTGAAATGTTATCCCAACTGGTTCACATCAGGCATATCCATCAAAAAGGACTTTAATATGTTTTTCTTTTCTAAGATGTTAGTGACATAAAGTCAGCAAATAGAAGCATAATTATACCATACTTTAAAAAAACACCACTGTTACAGCTTTCTAATAGTTTTTAAGGCTATTACCATGAATGTTTTGCATTAATGTCTAGGAAATTTCAACCCCTAACTAAAATGACTGCCACATAAGAGAGGTAACCTAACTTAGTTTTGCTTAATTTCACTTTACAGGGCAATATATTAAAGAAACAGTAAAATCTTAACAACCTGTGAAGGCAACAACAACAAAAATTATTTCTCAAACTACACAACTACAATACAGATACTAACGTATTCTCTTTTCAGTTTTTCACGTTTACGAATGAGTTCTACTAGCAATCTTGCACGTTCTAAGTCTTGTCGTAAACGCTGCCAGTATCGTAACTGCCCCTTGAGTGCACTCAGCTCTTTGCTCTCAATCTTCTAAAAATAATAGTAAAAAGACTGGGTTTAGGATCTGTTTGAAGACCAAGAAATATAAAATATCATCAAGAGTTCTTAATAAGCTTAAAGCTAATTTCTAATTTGATAAAGCTCCATGAAATAATTCAAAATTAAACACATCTCAGGAATATAGACTATTATTGTAAAGTCAAGCTCCTCCCCTTCAAACACTTCTGCAATTACGAACACAACCCAAACTATTTCTGAGAGAGCAGACAAACACAAAATTAGACTACGTGTCATAGCAGCCCAAAATATGAAAAATGAAAACCTTTGACACGTACATTCTTCAAACAACAATGAATCACCTTGCTTTACGTAGAAATACATATAACTACTCTAAGATGTTTTTAGCTTCCTTTGAAGCATATCATTTGATTAGAAAGTAAACAGATGGATGAAAACTGAGAGGCATAAAGAGGGTTTGTTTTTATAATAATAATGCTCTAAGATTCTTAACCACTTCTGCCTTAAAAACTGTATGTAAATTTAGGTCTTACAAAAAACACTTATGAGGTATTGTGACTAATGAGTACGTCATTAATTAGTTAACTGATTTCTTGACAAATTTTTGTAAATTAACTTATAATTACAAGCACATTCCTAAGTCCAGGTTGGTGATTTGTTAACTATAAACACTTCAAACTGCATGCTTCTTCCATGAAAGTTTATAACCAGCATTTGATATTACATGAACTGTTGTTGTTTTTTTTCACATTTAGAAATTAAATCATTTCACACTGAAAATTAAGCATGTGTAAAGACTTTTGTTTTGAGTAAATTTTTTTCACATTAACTAGAACAAGCTAACTGGCTGTTGTACAATTACATAATAAAACAACGTAAATCATCATTTAAAAAATTAAATCAACCAAAACCTATGAAAGTCATACACTCGATATTGTTTTGGAAACCTGGTAAGTATATTGCATAATGTTTAAATCTATAATTATTTAAATTGAATAAGTATTTCTTCTGTCAAAATGTTTCTATCAGAAATTCAGTTTTCTTTTTCCATTTACAGAAAGCCAGTATAACTCCACCATGTAAAAACATAAAAAATTTCAAACATGAAAATCAATGTAAAATTTTAACATTCAGAAAATAAATTATGGTAAATACATTAAAAATATGTTACTAAATTTTACAATTTATCAAATAATAATTAGCCATGAATATAAATAGCTATAAACTAACTTTAACAGTTTTTTTCAATCATGTAAATTCAGAAAAATATGAAATTGTGACTTATAAAACTTGAAAAACATATTTAAAAATTTCTCAATTTTTTTTTTTGTACTATAACATTGTAGTAACTGACCTGTTCCTTACGAGGCTGGTGTGCTGCTTGTAACCTTCTTAATAAAGGCACACCATTTCGATGCTGTCTTTTCAATGTCCAATAACCTAGCAGTCTTTGTAGGAACTGTTGCTTCTTTGGCAAAGATATCAGGGCAGCTATTTTCGTCAACCTGTAAATAAAATTATACTTTAAAAAAACAAAAACAGTAAATAACAAAACTGTCTTGATGTGAGATTTTTTGCTGATATTATATATACTGGACAGCTCCACTTTCACGAATGATAATACTCATTCTATTAATGCATGTATCATCCTTGCATAATTTGAACAGCACTGACCAGTATTTTCTCTGGATCTCAACATCCTAGAAGACATGAAATCAGCATGAAGGATGGATTTCATGCCTACCTCTATGGGGAATGCCTTGGTGAGGAATTGGAAAAGCATTACGTAAAGAACCATTCATGTTGGGTAGATAGACAATATATCCTTAGATCTCCAATTTTATTTTCTCAAGGTTCAGTGCAGTAAATACTCCCAAACTAGAAGTGATTTTTCAAAAGAGGGAGACTGTGTGACATTATGATTTAATCAATTAATTGATATAATTGATTACCTATGGATAACAATTATCATTTAAACTAATCAGATTAAATTGATTAATCAAAATTAGTGTTTCAATTATTTCAAAGATCAATAAATCAAAGTTAGGATTAAACCAACTGTCACAAAAATAACCGGCAATTCAAGTAATCAAAATATTGCAATTAAACTTGCTCCTCCTGTTTTTGTTACAGAAAAGATACTAAGGTTATCTGTCACTAATTTTGGAGTGCTGCCTTAGAATAAAGGCAAATAGTTGGCAGTAACTGATTCCAAATTTTTTGTTGTTGTTGAACTACTGACAAAAAAAAAAGCAAACTCCCTGGTAGCACCAGCTGCCAACTTTTTCGTTTTTTTTTCAGAAACAGTACTAATTGATTAATGAGGTCACTGATTAATTTATTAGCAAATAATTAATTAATTGTCAAGTTCTAGCTCATGTAGTAACAGTTTATTTTTTATAATTTGACTTCTAGCCTGATCATAGTGTTCAAGCTAGCACTTTGTTTTCATATAAAATTAACCCTCTTGCCAAGGGCATCCTTTACTGTGTACGTCACGAGGGTTTAAACTTAACCTGATAATTGCCGTGCCCATTTTGTCTTGTTGTAATAGCAAAATCATTTGTGAATTGAAAAAATTATAGAGAACTTATCTTTTATTGGATTTCAGATTTTATTTTTGTAAATACTAGCATCACATTCAATTATTTGTACAAAATTGTATTGTTTAATGGAGTTTAAAGAGGAATTTAGTGAACAAATTCCTGAAATACATTTTAGACTGTAAATAAGCACCCTCTAAGAAGAAATTTTTTTTCCAAAAATTTTTTTAAGATACTTCCTTTCACTTCAACACTGGTTCTGCCATCTATGATTGGTATCTAAACCTTTTTCTACTCTGTTTTCTTTATAAAACTGCATCTGGGCGTGTTAAACCTCAGTTGTAAAACTTTTAGCCAATCCTAGTCGAAGGTATTAATTTCAGTACCATGTTATTCCAATCAATGTATCTCACATTTGACAAACCATAGGATCATAAAGAAAGCACGTGATGAAACGTTGTTCTCTGAATTTTACAATATGAATGTGGGTGGTGCTTATTATAGTAACTGCCATTTTATGTAGAGGTTGTATTTAGTACTGGCCAATAGTGCTTTTCTATAAGCGTTAGAAAAGTTGCTTCTGGAAAAAACTGCATGGGATGTACATGACTTTTATTATTTTTATATAGTAGCTTAACTCATGCTGTATCGTATATCTGTTTATATTAATCATTATATTGAAACATTAACTCAAAATAGATGTATTTTTTAGGAAAGAAGTTGATCCACGATTGTTAGGGTTAAGAGCTATCGAGTGGCGAGTGCAAAGTCTTTACATGAATTAGACTTAGGACTTTGAACTGAAAGAGTTTGTGATTTTTTATATTCTTTTGAATTTAAATTTATAGTTTTAAGTTCAATAATTTAGCATAATTTTATGTTTAGTTCATAATAATAATAATAATATGATTCAGTATTTAGAATAAACTTGTGTGATTTGTACGTAATACTACTAGTACCAGTACCACATAAGAATTTTATATTTTTCCTTTTTACAATCTTTGCTTTGTAGTAAGACCCACACTTCTGTTGTTATTGCGTTAGAATTAAAACAGTCTAACTGATATATATATAGTTCTGATATTTTGCAAATGGTTCAAACTCAGTGTACATGTGACAACAATAAAACCCATATGTTGGTTGTGAAACAGGCTAAATACATTAATCTCAATAATACAGGGAAGCTATGACATTCTCACAGTTGGGGTCTAAATACATTGAAGAGCTTAAGTTTCGCATTCCAACATAAATCTTCTGTTGGTGGTCACTCTCGTTCAGTTCAACCGAGCGCGGGCGCATTTGAACGTTACTGTAGATAGGATAGTAAGAAAGCTTTTCGGTACTTGAATATAATTTCTTTGAACTTTCAAACAAGTTTATTTCAACATATGTCCGTGTATGTTGTTTCAGAATAGAGACAAAACTAATTGCCACTACTAACGAATGTATGTAACAGTTTATAGTACAGGTGGTTTCAATAAACACAGCCTGAGCCTGACCCCTTGTTACTTGATACATCCTGTTAGAAGAGATTACCAGACGATACAGATACCATAAATTACAAAGAAAATTACTTTACAGCATTTAAAAGATTAGTCCTGGTCACATTCCTCTCATTATAGGCGAGTGAGATAGTTTACGGAAAACGTACAAAGTTCACGCTGCTGACCCCACGGTTTATTCGGCACAATAAACAAAAGTTCGACTGCAATAAAACATAAACACAAATTTGAAATAAAAATATATTTATGAAACAAAATTAAAATGTTTTTATGTACATATATAAACATGAAAT